GCTACTGCAGAAGCTGCAGAAGCTGCAGCAGCAGCAGCAGCAGCTGCTGCTGCTGCTGCTGATGCGAGACGTTGTTTGTTTCTACTGAAGCGGCATCAGACGCCCTCAGACAGTTTTATCCTAACAAGAAAATGTTTATATATATTTATAATTATATTTATATTTATACATTTATATATTCATATATATATTTTTTTATACATTTAAATATTCATATTTATATATAAATATTTATATTTATATATCTGTTCTTTATTTATATATTTATATATTTTGTCTAAACAACTCCCACGAAGCAGCAACAGCAGCAGTAGCAACAGCAGCAACAGCAACAGCAGCAGCAGCAACAGCAGCAGCAACAACAGAAAGACGGAAATGAATTACGACAGCAAAAGGAGTTAAAAGGAGTTAATTTATTTTTTTTTTATTTGTCTCCGACTTTGCGAAGAAGAAAAACAAAACGAAGTAAAATATAAAATAAAATCAAACAAAAAATTAAACAACAAATTTGAAAACTTCAGACAATGGCCGGTTCAGGAGGCAGCGTATTGCGCAAACCCTAAACCCTAAACCCTAAACCCTAAACCCTAAACCCTAAACCCTAGCTCTTAAGAGCCAGTGCACGTCGTCAATAATAACAAATAAACGACAGGCGAATAAAAACAAACAAACAAACAAACAAAAATGCAGTGTATAGCCACACGCATACACAAACATTAACCCTAAACCCTAGACCCTAAACCCTCGCTCCTATCGAAGCCTTCCTGCATCACAGCACAAAACAAAACAAACCCTAACCCTATATTACCCCCTGAATAGCATACGTCATTCAAACCCTAAACCCTAAACCCTAAATGCTGATTCTTAGCGGCGACGGGCCCACCTCTGTAGTGGTGAGCATCTAAAAATAATATAACAGCAGCAGCAGCAGCAGCAGCAGCAGCAAGAAGGAAGCTCAATACAATTATCTTACAGCTTGGAAACCCCCAAGCAAACGGTCTGTCTAGCCCCTGCATAAACAAAACCCTAAACCCTAAACCCTAAACCCTCTCTATGCTCCTTATCTCTCCTATTGTAAGTCAGCTTAAACAACTAAACAAACAAAAAAAACTAAACCCTAAAAACAAACAAAACATAAAAAAGAAGACAGACAAGCGGGAAGAAAAACAAACGCCGATGGCTGTCTTCATTTATACTTTTTATTTTAATACGTACACTAAACCCTAAACCCTAAACCCTAAACCCTAAACCATCTTTGGTTGGCGTCTTCAGGGAGTGATTTCTGTCGTGAGTAGATATAAAAGAATTAAAAAAGTAATAAATATAATAATAATAAATTAAAAACAAAAACTTTAATTATATTTTATCTAAATATTATTTAAATAATATTAATTATTCCTACAGCCGCACTCTTAAGACAAACAAATGCAGCAAACAGCAAACAACTATCACGGAACATTTAATAATAATAATTATACAATAATATAATAATAATAAAATAAAATAATAATAATAATATAATATAAATAATAATAATAATATGATTGTATGAATACTCGCACGGTGTAATAACAGAAAAAGTACTGCAGAACCACTCCCGCATTCAGAAACGCAAAAAACAAAAAATAAAAATAAATAAAAATAAATAAATTAAAACAATTACATTAAAACAATTAAAATGATTAAACTAAAACAATTACTATGCTAAAATAATTAAAATAATTAAACTAAAACAATTAAGCTAATTAAATTAAACTACTATGAAAATAGTTAAATTGAGTAATAATAAAAATGAGGATAACAAAAATAATAAACAAACAAAACATCAAAGACAAACACCTACAATTAATCGGAGTTAATGAACAACAAAATAATAATTATGCAACTGCATATACAAATAATATTATAAGAACAACATAATAATAATAATAATAATAATAATAATAATAATAATAATAATAATAATAATAATAATAACAATAATATAATAACAATAATAATAATAATAATAATATAATAAATGCCGACTATGGTTTGTGAAAATATAATGAGTGCTGATCTAGGAATAGTTTAACAATAATATAATGATAGATAGTCGTTAAATATAATAATATTATAATAATAATTAATAATAATAATTAATAATAATAATAAATAATAATAGTAAAATAATTAATTAATAGAATAAGTTAAAATATAATATATCAGTGGGTTTGTATCGTAGTGCAGGGCTTTAAATACTAAATAATAATAGTAAAACAAAATTGTTTATAATAATTATAATTACAATAATATAGTAATAATAGTAATTAGTTAATAATATAATAATAATAATAATAATAATAATAATAATAATAATAATAAAAATAATAATAATAATAATATAAGAAAATAATAATAAAGACAAAAGATAGCATACGCGCGCTGGGATGCAGTATTGATCTAAATGTTAGCTGCATATACACTCGAAGAAGCAAATAAACTGTTGCTGCTGCTCTCT